AGCCTCAAGTCATGGCTTTGGTTAGGTACAGAAAACATATACTCCCTAACAGGTTCCTTCCCCGGCTTCTCCCTCCCCGTATCTGAAGAGTCTGCTAAACTCCCCTGCTGTAGAGAGCTCTGGGCTGCGTTAGCACATGCAGATAGTTGAAAATCCATCACTAGATGGAACGGTAGAATGGTTAATACAGATGTGAAAAAGGCAGAAGCAATCAATAAATGATTCTGTTCTGTATTTGGGAAAAAGCCAATCATGTAGTCCTATCGTACGATCACAAAACTTTCCACTCCAATAGGAACTCGGGAGGATGTTAAACAGCTACTAAATTTAGACATTTAAAGTGGGTGGCTCAAAGTGACATGATTTGGCCACTGAACCTGAGCAGCACCTACGTAGTAAGAGTGCAGAGAATGTATGTTGTATGTGTTATTTTGGGGAAGTTCTATGGCCTGTGCTATACAGAAGGTCAGACTAGAGGATCACAGTGGTTCCTTCTGGCCTTGGAATCTATAAATCAGCAGGTCCAGATAACTTGCACCCAAGAGTTTTAAAAGAGCTGGCTGCCCAGCTCACTGGTCTGTTAATGAGGATTTTCAATAAGTCTTGAAACACTGGGGAAGTTCCACAAAATTGGAAGAAAGCTAATGTTGTGCCAGGTCTGTCATTATAGGTCTGTCAGATTGGTATCAAGCCTGTGCAAAATAATGGAGTGGATGATAGGGGACTCAATTAATAAAGAATTAAAGGAGGGTAATATAATTAATGCCAGTCAACACAGATTTATGGAAAATAGAGCTTGTCAGAATAACCCGATATCTTTTTTTGGATGAGATTACAAGTTTGTTTGATAAAGGTAATGGTGTTGATGTAATATAATTAGACTTATGTAAGGCACCTTACTTTGTACGGTACATTTTGAACTAGAATGATGCAAAACTAACATGGCACTCAAATGGATTAAAAACTGACTAACCCATAGGTCACAAAAAGCCAATGCGGCCACAAAGGCAAATGGCCTCCTGGGATGTACTAATAGGAGTGTTGTATGTAAGACCACAGGAGGTAAGTGTTCCCCTCTACTTGGCGCTGGTAAGGCTTTAGCTGGAGTGTCATGTCCAGTTTTGGGAACCACACTTTGAGAAAGATGTGGACGAACTGCAGAGAGTCCAGAGGAGAGCAACACAAATGGTAAGTAGTTTAGAAAACATGACCTGTGAGGAAAGATTGAAAGAAATAGGCATGTTTTTGGCAAGAGAAGACTCAGGGGGAGAATTTATAACAGTCTTCAACTATGCGAAAGGTTGTTATAAAGAGGACTATGATCAATTGTTCTCCATGTCTACTGAGGATAGGACAAGAAATAATTGGTTTAGTTTGCAGCAGGGGAAATTTACGCTCGGTGTTA